TCTTGACTTTTGGCATATACGACAATTATTTTTTGGATGAGAATCATAGCAAGGACGCAGCGGATACATTTCGGTGGGCGATGTGGCTAATTCCGATGAGTTTTCTTATACAAATAACGTTTTGAACAAAAGTTTAAGACAAAAAGCCAAACAGATAAATAGTACTTCATTTATAAACGTTGCAAAATATAACATATTATGTGAATTACTTCTTTTTATAAATCAAGGAATATTCTATCAAGCTGAGAAGATTTTTAGGGCCCGTAAATTTTTACAGACGGTTTTTACTATGTACCCTTGTGGTCACATGATTAAGTTAAGTGACATTTTGACCTGGTTTGGCTATTTTTCTTTTGTTTATTTAATGTTTATGTATTTTTTTATAAAAGTCTAGAACTCGGCAGTCGGTTCGAAAAAAATAAGTTACTAAATTTACTTAAATTATAATTTTTCTGCCACTGACAATAACTTCCATTCTATTTAATTAACTTGGACATTTTTTTAGTTTTTTTTTTTTTGGATGCAGAAGTGTATACATACTGGGTATATCTAGATGCATTTCTGCATCAAAAAGAAAATTTTCAAAAAAACGTCGCCTACGTTTTTTGGCGGTTAGGACTCGATATGTAAATAAATAAATAAAAAAGTTTGCTACGAAGCCCTGGTATAGACATACTGCGGCTAATTTATATACTGTGTTTAGCTCACGTAGTTGGAAAGACTGCTAATGGTTAAAATTTAAAAGGAAGCATTCATTAGTGGTAGATGAAGGCGTTTTCTGCGTTTGAAAGGCCTGCGTGGAGATGGGCCTGACTGAACTAGGTGTTTAAAATAAGCAAAGAAGAAGAAGAAGAAACGAAACAAAGACAAAAGAAACAAAGCATTGAACATTGGCAAAGTCGTTTTTACAGTTAATGAAGAAAAATAATCTAACCCACCTTGCAGCCGGGCGATTAGAAGCGCTGACGAGTTAGGGTAGTTTCCAGATTACGTCTGTGTGTTTAATAACGCCATCGTCAATAATTTAAAGAATGCTTTAAAATTGATATTTTCTTACACTGTATGTACAACCAAAAGTGACGCTTATCAATTCCAATTACCTAAAAAGCTTAGTAGTTTTCTATTGAAAATTGGTTTAAAAACATGCGCGTATTTCGACCTTATTTACTTTAGTGAGTAGCGTAGTAATTGAATTCCAATTCGTTTTCTCTTTTTGATTGCATGCTCAATTTAAAACGATTTTCGAATTACCAATTATGCAATCAAATATCATTCTCATTTTCCTTTTGCCAATAAAAACACATTGAACATTTTTTAAATGCAAAATTTCAACCTTATATTTATTTCGAGTCGTGGAAGTGAGTAGAAGGTTAGTTTAGGACTTGCACTTACAACACATACATATGTATGTATACTAAGTTGAATATGTATGATTTTACTAGTATGTACATTAGAGTGGTCCACAAACCGTAAAGTTGGAATTTGAATGCCGCCAACCCCTAGGATTGCTCTGTACCGAAAAAATACCGTAAGTTTTTATTTTGAAAACAAAAGATTTTTAGGGATTGCTCAAAGTTTTCCATGTATTTTATGTGCGGGAAAAAGTAGAATTCTTGAAAATCAATATCTTTCAGTCTGAAAGCTCTGGTTCTCTTAACAAGATTCCCAATAATAATACCCAATTGTTTATTTAACCATTCTTTCATGGTAGCTATATTTTAGAAATATGAAATAAGAAAATGCAATAGGGGACCAATAAAAAATCGTTAGTATTAAAAAAGGGTTAAATAAATAATTGGATATTAATATTGGAAGTCTCCCGAAGGGAACCAGATTTTTCCGATCTAAAAATATTGATTTGCAAGAATTCTATAACATTTCTACGAAAAGTTGTTTTCCTCCCATATAAACTACATAGAAAACTTTGAGCGCTTTGAGCACTCCCTAAATATCTTTTGATTTGAAAATAAAAAAAATGTGGGTATATTTTTTTTGGGGTATAGAACAATCCTGGTGGGTGACGGCATTAAAATTCCGACTTTACTTTTGCATATGCACTTTTGGACCACCCCAATGTACATCGGTATTTACGTACGAACATGAGTGAGATTTTCTAATTTCAACTTTTTGCAATTCCTAGCAACACTCTAGTAATTTCCGTTAAAGGCTCAGTAACCAAAAAGGCACAACAACATTTAGCTTAGGAGGAAAAAGAAAAAAATATTTAAAATAGTAGCGCACCTAAAAAGTTGAAAAAAAAAATAAAGAAAAAACAACTAACAAATATACATACGAAGCAACACAGCGGTATTCCTGTAGAAAAATATCTAGAGACAAAAAAATATATCCACAAGCCTTCAATTGCGTATCTTTCACTAACCTCCGTATACTATGTATGGTAGTTCATCCCTGTAGGAATTTGAACACTTTAGCGCAGCTTCTTAACAATTCATTAAGTGACTAATTTAAACGTTTTTAAGAGACAAAAGCTAACTTCTGGTGGAAAGTATATGTATCTTTTTCAGAAAGGTGCAGTTTTGCCGTTGTAAAGCATAATGCATCCTATATAAATAAATTTGTTATTATCCAGTCCAAAGGCACTCTCTCATAACTTTGTAAGCAGTATATTTTCCTAACAGGTAGCTATGTATATATATTTTGAAATACACTTGTATGCCCGTAAAGCACTAAGGAAACTGTTGCATGCTGCAATTTCCGTTTATGTCTGTGCAGGTGAATACGCTGCAGAAAAATTCTTAATTACCTAATACATTTTTTTGGAGAGTTGTATGTAGCAGTTTTACGATTTCACAGGAGTGCACTGCAAAGTATTTTGCGAAAATTTGGGAAACTGCGAAAGCACGAAAAAAGTAATCAGGTAAGAGAAAAAATCGTTTTTCTATCGTATGTTTATTTGATATTTTGTTTAGAAAATTAAAATACCATATTCATGCCTTATCATGAGTTTCATTTTCCCCGAACCGATTCACTTTTCTCTTGTGGTTTCCATAGTTTTACTATGGCCGGATGACAAATTTTCGGTTGAATTATTTTTTTTTTTCAGGCGAAACTCAGGATAAGGCAGATTACCTTTTACGGGTGCTTAAAGAAAGCTCCTAAATAATGCTTTAACTACATACATATATAGTAAGTGTTATCCCTTAAGAAATTAGTGTAAGGTGGCTACTTATTTTCGATTCTTAAAAAAATTTGACTAAAATAGCTTAATATGGATATTAAATGGAAGGTATTTTTGAAAACTTGAATAAATAAATATTTTCATTGAGGGTTGCCACGTTTTTTTAAATACCAATTTTTGTTTTATTAATTTCAACGAGCATTTCATTTGTTTCCACCTAATTTTTGGTATCAAATATATGTTTTTTTAAATTGAGTAAATTTTTTTTTAAAAACATTCTTTTTGTATAATTCTGTGGTATTGACTCGGCAAAAATATTTTTGTCAATTAACATAACTTTTCCAAAGTTTTTTTTTTTAAATTTGTTTCACTGAGGTACTTATAAGGCTAATATTAACGCATTGGTAATATTTTTTTTTTATCGACATAATTTGGATATGCGTAATGTTAAATAAGAAATTCTATTAACAATATTATAGCTATCTTGAAAAATTTAAAAAGTGTATGCATTCCGAGCAAAGCACGGTAAACCTGGTAATAAATGATTTAAACAAATAATCAAAATAAGAAATAATAAAGTTTTATAAATTGAAAACAGCTGAAAACTTGGACAAGAGATTTATTTAAAAAAAAATCCTTGCTAATGTAAAACAAAAAATAAAAAAAACTAAAATTATATTCTGCCTTATCCTGAGTTTCGCCTGAAAAAAAAATTCACCTGAAAATTTGTCATCCGCCCATAGGAAAACCATGGAAACCAAAAGTGAAAAGTCAACCGATTGGGGAAAAATGAAACTCATGATAAGGCTGATTATTTAGGATAGTACATATTTATGTATGTACTCCAAATCTTTGTTTAAATTATTAAATAAACAATTTTAAATTCTTAACATTTTATAAGGAAAACCCGAATTGTAAAATTTTCAAAACACATACTTTGGCAAAAAATATGTTAAATTAGAATTATCTATAAAAGTAATGTTTTCAGTTTCAATAAATTCAAACACTTAAATAAAACTACTTACATAGATGGTTTGTCAAAAACAAAAAATATGACATTGAAATAGATACATACAAATATTATGAAATACATATGTATTTTGACAAAAGCATTACATATACATATATATGTACATACATATGTATTAATATAATATTTAAAATATAATTTTAGTACACGCAGAAAAATTTCTTTTGTTTTACTATTTTATTATATATTGTTTTATTTGTTTTTTTTTGCTGTTATTGGCCTTATAACAAATCATATTACTTTTTTTTTGAGCTTCAAAAACGGAACAACAATTTGCATGGCGAACTAAGCTCAGTGGGCAGACCACTGGCTTTGTAAGCTGGAGTCGCTGGTTCAAATCCCAGTGAACTCGATGAAGAAGTCTTATGAGGAGATGTGGTGATCTCCGAAATAGCAGCTATACTTCTACCATTTACATATATACTGATGTTCGTTTTTCCCAAAAATTGTTCAATAGTACTTTATTTATTTTATTCTATTTTTATTTTATTTTACTTCATTTAACTTCATTTTATTTTTATTTTGCTTTATTTAATTTAATTTCATTTCATTTTATTAAGTTTTAGTTTAAGTTTTCTTTTTTTAGTTTATTGCATTCAATTTAATTTTACTTTATTTTTTCCATCTGTTATGTTATTTTATTTTATTTTGTGTTATTCTTATTAAATTTATTTTAGTTTGATTTAATTAAACTTTATTTAATTTTTTTATTACATTTCATTTAATTTAATTTCATTTCCTTTCAGCTCATCTCGTTTCATTTGATTTTTTTGAAAGACACCAGCAACAACAATGCGGTTATAAGCTGAAAACCGCTTAGCGAGGCAGCAGTAGAGCTCACAGGCTGAGTTGGTGGCCATATAGGGTCCAAATTATGTTGACTCACTTTGTCGATGAAATAGTTGGCCCAAATACCAAAAGTGAGCAAATCTAATTTTGGCGATCTTAAACTAATGGATACAGTAGTAATTTTATTCCTAAAAAATCAGAGAAACATATTTAATATAATGTTTATTACTATTGGAACTCATACAACCTCTCATCCATTTGCCACTCGTACATGTGCACCGGCAGCGGCAACATAGCGCCATCCACGCTAGTCGGCATAATTAGACGTCGTGGCGCATGCGCAAATTTTGCGCTCACTTTCAACGCGCTAAAATAGTATTTATTAGCGACCGACACATTTTCAGGAAAGATATGCCCACAACTGTACAACTGCCCATTCGTGCAGGCGAGCACAGCACAAACTTTCAATTCCGCTGTTTCAATGCGTTGGAGTGTAGCCTGCGAGCCGCTATAAGCAGCCAGCCGATAGCGATAAGCCGTGTGGGTACTCGCGCTGCTGGCAACCGGTGCGCGTTTCGCTTGAAAGTGGCAGCAGAAATGGCTATCGTAGCAGAGAGTTTCATTAACCGACGTGAAATCAGCTTCTAACAGCTGCGTCTTAAAAATATCCACATTATAGTCGCGCTGCAGATCGAGTTTGGTGAGACGTGGCGTTTGAAGTTGTGGCACAAAGGCGGGTTGTATTGTCGTTACCATTTGATAACTGTCCCGATAGGCGCGTTTCGGCACTCTCGCGGTAAGCAACTGTGTAGTAGGTTCCTCACAGATGACGGCTGCAAGGCGTCCCGAGCGTCCAGCATAAATACCCGAGCCGCTATTTTGGCTACTTGGACTGCTCGCATCTGCGGCAAGCAAGTTGACATCGTTGGCAAAAGCCCAGCCTTCTTGCAATTGTACAGCGGTTAGGAAAGGCAACTCATTAAACCAATGCGTTGGATTTATCAAATCTGTTATGCCTAGCTGCTTAACCAACGCTTGCGCCGGTTGCCAAAAGAGAAAATCAACACCAATGAAATGGCCAAAAGTCACACCGAAATCGGTGCTGAATACGCCCAGCTGTGACTGGGGCAAAACATTCACAGTATACCATT